GTGACCGTCAGTCCAAACTGTATGTAGTTTGTTTGTGAGGAAGCCATATATCCAGTTGCAGAGTGTAGTACTCATGCTCAGAGTGCTAGGTTTGCCTTTAAGTTTCATGATGTAACATATATTTACAAGTCAACATTAAATGTTTATCAGAATATTAATGCAACATAATTAAATTACATGTAACATAAACAATACTGTTAACAAATTTATGGCTATTGATAAAACTAGTTGTGTAAAAAATGAATAAATGTGTATTTTATACTGTACTCAGGGTTGGGAGGATTCTTTAAAAATGTAATCCGGAACAATTACGAATTGTTAAAATGTAATAAGTAATGTAATCCAAGTACCAATAAAAGTAATGTAGCCTGATTACTTTCAGATTACTTGATACGTTGTCTGCTCAGTGTATTTTTAGAGAAATATACAAAATCTTCCATTCCCATGAAATCAAAATCCATGCTTAAATGTTTTTATATGATATGCTTTGCACTATGTCAACACCATGGCAGTTTCTGGCCCATCAATGACAAAAAAACATGTTTTGGTATTCTTGATGATATTTAAGAGTTTGTATTTGGAAAGAGAATTTTAAAATGTTCTCATTCTGTACTTAATGAAAAGATTTCTCAATATAATGTTGCTGAAGTATAGTGTTTCTGGGACTGGGCCCCACTGATTACTGTACAAAAACACATTTTTTTTTCACTGATTTTGGTGAAACTGGATCATATTTGATAGAGAAATATTAGAAATATGGAGAAAATATATTCTACTTTTCTCTCTTATGTCCCCCAGCAGATCTGCCTCAATTCTGTGATTCAGAGTTTCCTGATGGGCACACAGCTTTACTTGTTGCTGAAGTTAGTTAACAACCAACTAGCTCAGTTGGCTGTGCAGCCACTGCTCAGATTAGCTCTCCCCGTACTGGGAGCTCGGAGCAACCTGGCGGACAGATTAGCGTCTGTAAATGCTGATCAATGTCTGCGTCACGTCCCTCGCTAGCTTTGTATTTTTACAGAAACACGTACATAGACTGTATATAAAAAAACATATACAGAAGCAAATAGAACTGCATTTTCTGTTTCATGGAAAACTTATGATTAAAGTAATCCCTATGAGTAATCTCCGATTTTACAAAATGTACCTGTAATCTGATTACATCTATTTTTTTCTGGAACTAATCAAATGTCACAGATCTTGCTTGAATGAGGTCAGCAATGAACATGACTAACTGACTTGATAATGTCAGCAATGAGCAGGAACCAGCTTGAATGATATAGCAATGGATGCAATGAAAATTTAGCAATTAGCACAATGCAATGAACATGAAATCACTTTACAGTAATCAGTGACAGTATCAGCAGCAATTAGCAGAATGGAATAATAATTATCAATTTGTTCTGTCTGTCCTGTGCTCATCCTGGTATTGCCCCTAGGGAGTGTGTATGTTTAAGACCGGTGAGCAATGTTAAAACAAACACAGTCTGCCCCTCTCTGTTAGAGGGTTTGTTTGTATTTAAATTTGTTAAAGTAACTTCTTTCTACTTTATGTTTACGGAATTGGCTTCTCCTTCTGTTAAAAAGGAAAGCTAGTTTTCCATTCTTTTAACCATTGTTTTATTAACTTTCTGTTTAATTGTAATAAAAATCCTGTTGACAGGTTTTCTTTTATTTATTTCTCCCTAGTTAATTATGATTTTTTTTAACAAGTAACAGAGTTTATTAACAAACAGTGTATTACATATTTATACTGTGTGTTTCTGTGTGCAATAATGATAACAGTGGAGGACTCTGGTACCTGGACAATCTCAAACATTCTCAAAGCTTTTTTTAATTTGACAGATTCAAAACAGCTTTTAAAACAAGGACACATATTTTTAAACACTGACAAGTCATCAGAAAACTTGCGGACTAGATGTTTTTGAACCAGGGACAGATCCAAAATACCAGCACCACCCACCCACACCACAACATGATTACTGAACAATATTTATAACAATAACTTTATTCAAACATATGTAAACAAGTAAGTTAGTATAATATTAATATATTAATCAAATGATGTTACTATATTTGTTATAATTTAATATAATAGTACTATATAGCTTACCACTAGTATAATATTAATATATTAAATAAATGATGTTACTATATTTGTTAGAATTTAATATAATAGTATACTCTATAGCTTACCACTAGTATAATATTAATATATTAAATAAATGATGTTACTATATTTGTTAGAATTTAATATAATAGTATACTATATAGCTTACCACTAGTATAATATTAATATATTAAATAAATGATGTTACTATATTTGTTAGAATTTAATATAATAGTATACTATATAGCTTACCACTAGTATAATATTAATTCCAGTTACAGGATCTTCATTTTTGTGGGTTGTTTATATTTAATCCTTGCGCTAGAAAGATGCCCTACATGGTGGTTAATCTCTAATCTATTAATGCTACTTACTCGTCAATAATCAATCAACAATTCATGCATTCATGCATCAGAAAGTTTGCTGTAACACGTCAACCTTTTTTTAATGCCCCACCCTATTCAGGCTGTTTGATTAGAATATTAGAGTTGTAGTCTTTACTGGCACACTGTTCCGATAAATCCGCGGATTTATGGCCATATGCAAGTGACATATTCGCACTGTAGAGCCCAGCATCCACAGATTAATTTCCTGGAAGTCCTGCCAAGAGAACAAAGTTCCCAAAAAGATTTAACTGCAGGATCACAAAAGAGTTCTCTGTTCATCTCTGTGTTCCCTTGAAATGAGTCTCTGCTCAGGTAAGACACATTATTCATTTGAGTAAATTTGAAGTTTCATTTTATAGACACCATAAAAACTGAATGTTGCCACTAAACATTTTAATGTGTATATTTTTTAAGGTAGGCCTATTTGTATTTTACTATTTCCATTTAATGCTACTTTATTCTTCTGCTCCACTACATTTCAGAGGGAAATGTACTTTACATAATTTATCAGTAATAATGCATCTCATTTATTTGCTGATTATATTTTGTATTAATCTGGATCGGCAAATTACCAAGTAAAACTTTATTTGCCTCCAAAAGGTAGCTGAGTATAATATGGAAACACTGAAGTAGTACTAGTACCCCGCTTGAGTTCTAGTTTAATGCTACAACACTATACAAATAAAAACACACACTTTGGTAGATTGATTAGCTTCTCCACAATTCAGTTGTTTAGTTCATTTTACGGGAACCTTAAGCATCAAAGTAGAATTCATTGAGATGAACCGAGACAGAAGAAAGAAGCGAATCACTCCATTTGAACCGATCATAAAGTCCGAATATGTGTCCATTCCTTAATTATTTATATTCCTTTATTCTGTAAAAGTACACTGATCAAGAGAATCAAATGCGGATTTTCATAAAAATGAATCCAAGTCGAAATAAATAACCTTCGTCTCTCTCTCTCTCTCTCTCTCTGACATCACTTTGGGAGCTAAAGGGAAAACTCCAAAACATTGTAAAGTCTATATTTTATGAACACTTGGAGTCATCAAACTGTAGAAGTAGCATTTCTTTGATAAGGATGACCACAAATTCATGAAATTTCTGGTGTTTTTTTTTTTATCAATGTGTTACAAGTATTTTAGACAGATAGGCCTATAAACTATAAATAGAGGATTTTTTATTTTTTTTTTGAATGCGGAAACATGAATTGAACGAACAAAGAGGTGGATGCATCATTTGGCTAAACAGATTGTGTAGCCTACCTGCTGATGTTTGCATCCACCATTTTTTTCAGCTGGCAGGATTTTTCCCCCTGCGAGTTCCCTTAAAAGAGCCGATGTTTGCAGCAACGAAGGACAAACTGTAACAGGACCATTACAGGAAGAAGTTAAACACATAACACAGGCTAACACAGCCGCAGCTGCCACTTGTAGAAGGACAGAGCGTATACTTATAATATCTTTGACCCATCATTAGGGCACGAGTAGATCTGAGTATAATTATATTTGTGTGTTCCTTATACCCGTTGCAGTGTCATTAACGCCGTTACAACGCATTTTAACCTGAAATTAAGTGTTGTTGTTTTTTTAAGAATTCACCAACACTGAGAAACATTTCGACACCAGAAAAAACAAACCCACGAGAAACAGAGTAACCTTATTTCCTTTTGCTCGATTCCGACGGTGCAACACAGTCTCACTCCCTACTCGTCAAATGTCTGACGCATGGTCAAGGGACCCTGGCGTCACTTTTTTGACGCACTGGGTATACCTTCGGCTTCATTTTTCAGCGTGCGGGGCAGTCCAATAGACTTCTATAGAACTCAACAGCGTTGAAATTTGACGTCTTGGGTCGATCACCACACCGCAACCCCCCACATAGCAGTGACATCTGGCCCAGATTTGGCTTAAAGCTGGCACTGCTGGCACTGAGTCGGCACTGGCATAAGGCATATGAACCGAACATGGCCCAGGTGTGGCAGACAATGGCACCGCCTTTAAGGCGGCAAACAAGATATGGGCCAGTTGTTGAGCGTTGTATTTGGCCCAGATGTCAAATTAGAAATGTGGGCCACAGATGTATGACCGGTCTTGTCCCACAGTTTAATTTCAGATATTTTTGAGTAAGGTGCTAATAATTATTTAAAAGCATACTTCCATGACTTGTATTTGTAAACAAACAAATTAGGCCCATGATGAGTTTTTTTTTTTCTTTTTTAAAATACAAAATCTAGACACCTCCTCCACTATTTTTGTACCTTGCCAGTAAAAAAAAACGTTTTAAGATTTATTTATTTTTTGTTAGGAATTAATTCAAATAATGTCATGATCCTGTAGGGATTTAGCTCCATTCAAGCCGTCTTGAAATGGTGATCTTCTGAAAAGGAAAAACTAATGGGAATTTTAATTCTGAAACAAGGCCCTGGAAATAGTAGGCGTTACCGTTCTGATGTCAATCAATTGAATTTATCAACGTATCCACTCAGTGTAGGCTGCACCAGGGCCGTGGACAGCGACGTCACTGGAACGAGCCAACGGTCGAGACTACCGAGAAAAAGAGAGAGTGCTGACTCACTGCACTCACGGTCACGGACTAAGTTGGGGAATAGCAAGTTGCCCAGAGCACTGTGGCTACAAGCCAGCAAAGAAGTGGTGAGTGAGAAACAATAATTTCATGTTTATGAAAACGTTACTGTTTTAGTTATTACATTTGCTGTTAGCTCACAAAGCTAACATTCGGGAGAGGTCGGGAGTCTAGCTTGAATGTTACTGCAAGGATGGGGCTAGGCTAGGTATAAGCTAACGTTAGCTAGCTAGCTAATCGTCATAGGCTATTAAAAAGATGTTATTTCCGAGTAAGCTTGTGAAAAGTGCTATTTTTGGTTAACCTATTTTGCAATTAAATTTAGATAACATTAGAGAATGGTATTCTTTCAAGCTAAGTGATATGCCTTGATATAGATTGGCTAACATTAACTTAATGTAGTTTTGAAAAGTAACGGCAGGATTTTTGAATTTAGCGGCATTTGGAGATGCGCGTGCAACCATCACGCCATGGCCGTGCAGCTCTCCTTTAAATTTCAAACACGCAGAAAAAATATTTTACGTATTACAAGATTATCTATATCAATGCAGTGTCACTAATCTTGAAATAATTTTGAAATAACTAGTTCAGCTCGAGTAGTTCATATGTCACCTGCTCTGCTGCGTGTGTAAGGTTGACTGACGTTAATACACACAGACATGAAGCCCCATCAATGGCCCATCCTCAACCTGGGGAAACACTGCTTGCTGTCTTTTAATACTAACGTTATTGGATTACTATTTCTTATTTGGGCTATTTGGGAATTTGGCTTAATGCATTATTATTTTAAAAAAAAGTTTAAAAGTTAAATAGATGCAGGATGTTCCCGAAGGCAGTAATTGTTTTAAATAATTGTGATCTCAATATTTACCAGATTAATTGTGATTATGACTTTTGCAATAATCGAACACCCTAATGTAATCTATATTTAATTGCAGAATAGCTTAGCTCTTGTCATTGATATTTCATTCTCATTTTAAGCTAAATAAATATATAACATAAAAAAATGTAATTTGGTATATTCTTCTTTGTCTGTTTCAGGTTGAAGGACAAAAGTTTGAGGAAAGTCACGGTATGGAAAAGGCGTGGATGTACAATGATAGGGGCAATGCACGAAGAAGGGTTTAAAGACAGTCAGTAAACTGATTGAAAATGAGCTGGATAGGGGAGGGATGGTGGATGCCAATTTAGAGTTAGGTGATTGTGTTGATGATTCAGAAGAATCTGAGATGCTATTTAGTGATGAAGAAAGTGATCAGTGTCTTCATGTTGAGGAAAAGGAAGTATATGAAGAGACTGTAGCTTCTGTTGAGGATCTGCCTGATCTTGGAGAACAGTGCAGTCATAGTGATGGTGATTTGCGGAGCTCTCTGGCAGATTGGGCAGTTGAATTTGGTATTTCTCTAATAGCTCTGTCAGCGCTTCTCAGCATTCTCAAAATCTACCATCCCTCTCTGCCAAAGGATGGACGAACACTGCTGAAAACAAAAACATGCTACAACATTAACAGTGTAGCTGGTGGTGTGTTCCACTATTGTGGAATTCTGAATTCTATCAGGAAAATTCTAGATAAAGTGTGGTCTACAGTGCCAGACGGACATGCTTTTAAACTGCAGTTGAATTTTGATGGTCTGCCGCTTTGCAAGAGTACTAGTACACAGTTTTGGCCAATTCTTGGTATGTTGCAAAGATACACCAAGAAACCAATGTTGATCGGACTATTTTGTGGTACTTCTAAGCCAAATTCGTTGGCCGAGTATCTTCATAATCTGGTTCAAGAGTTGAAAATGTTGAAAAGTGGGTTTCTGTTCAAGCAGAAAACCTTCTTTGTGAATGGTGTTTCTGTTGTGTGCGATACCCCAGCCCGAGCCTTCATAAGAGGTGTGAAGTCACACACTGGATACCATGGGTGTGACAAGTGTCACCAAACGGGTGTCCGCAAATCTAATCGAATGACATTTCCTGAGGTCAATGCAAGGCGCAGAACGGATGACAGTTTTAGGCAAGCAGTAGATGAGGAACATCACATCCATCACTCACCTCTTGCAGATGTTGGCATTGACATGGTGGCTTGTTTCCCATACGATTATATGCACCTGGTTTGTCTGGGTGTAATGAGGCGTCTCTTAGATTTGTGGATCAGCACCACTGGTCCTTTGCGCTGTCGCATTTCATCTAGTCTAGCTTCCATGGTTACGGATAGACTTCTTGCTCTGAAAAATTACATTCCCAGTGAGTTTGCTCGAAGGCCACGGGCACTGGCTGAACGATTAGGTGGAAAGCCACAGAATTCCGCCAATTCTTGTTATACACTGGTCCGGTTGTGCTGAGGGGTGTTTTAAAACCTCAGATCTATGACAACTTCATGCTTTTGTCAGTAGATGTGTATATTTTGGCAAGTCCAAAATATTGTATGGAGATGAATGACCTTGCTCACACTCTGCTGGTTTCATTTTTTGAACACTTTGGACAGCTTTATGGTGAAGAGTTTTGGGTTTACAATATTCATGGTCTGTTGCATCTCAGTGAAGATGTCAAAATACATGGCAATTTAGATCTTATATCAGCATTTCCCTATGAAAATTTCTTAGGAAAACTTAAAAAATTGGTTCGGGGGCCATGCAGTCCTTTGACTCAGGTGTTACGCAGATTATCAGAAATGGAAAATGGCAGCTACAGTCCAGATGTTAAAGAGGCAACTCAAAAACTGGATAAAGAGCATATGGGCGGGCCAGTGCCAGAGTGCTTCTCACAACATGTTCGTCAATTTAAAGTATTGGCTATTGATGATATACAGTGGGGGAAATAAGTATTTGACCCCTTGCTGATTTTGCAGGTTTGCCCACTTACAAAGAATGCAACGATCTATAATTTTAATCATATGTACATTCTAACAGTGAAAGACAGAATCCCAAAGAAAATTCCAGAAAATCACATCATGAATTTATTAAAATTGATAACCATCTGATGAGGAAAAACAAGTATTTGACCCCCTGGACAAACAGCATGTTAATATTTTGTAGAAAAGCCATTATTGGCCAGCACAGATGTCAAACGGTTTTTATAGTTGGTGACAAGGTTTGTGCACATTTTGGCAGGGATGTTGGCCCACTCCTCCCTGCAGACAGCCTCATTCAGGTTCCGAGGTTGTCGCCTGGCAACTCGAATTTTAAGCTCCCTCCAAAGATTTTCAATTGGATTCAGGTCTGGAGACTGGCTAGGCCACTCCAGAACCTTGATGTGCTTCTTCTTCAGCCACTCTTTTGTTGCTTTGGCGGTGTGCTTAGGGTCGTTGTCGTGCTGAAACACCCATCCTCGACCCATCTTCAGCTCTCTCACTGAGGGAAGGAGATGTTGGTCCAGAATTCCACGATACATGGCCCTGTCCATCCTCCCCTCAATACGATGGAGTTGTCCCGTCCCCTTGGCTGAAAAGCACCCCCAAAGCATGATGTTGCCACCACCATGCTTGACGGTGGGGATGGTGTTCTTTGGGTTGTACTCGGTGTTCTTTGCCCTCCAAACATGACGAGTTGAGTTGAGCCCAAAAAGTTCTATTTTGGTCTCATCTGACCACATCACCTTCTTCCAGGCCTCTTCTGAGTCGTCCAGGTGGTGAATGGCGAACTTCATGCGGGCCTGTACATGTTTCTTCTTGAGCAGGGGGACCTTGCGTGCGCTGCAGGATTTCAATCCATGACGGTGTAGTGTGTTTTTCCTGATAACTGCACCGACAGTTGATCTTTTCTCTCCAAGTTGCTTTCCAATTCTCTTGTAGCCCATCCCAGCCTTGTGCAGATCAACAATCTTGTCCCTGATGTCTGTAGAAAGCTCTTTGGTCTTGCCCATGGTGGTGATGTTGGATGCTGGTTGTTTGGGTGTTGACAGGTGTCTTTTATACAGGTAACGAGGTGAGGCAGGTGTATTTGATGTAGATAATTGGTTGGGATTGGGGCTGTGTCTTAAAGAAAGACTAACTGGCTTGTAGGAGCCAGAATACTTGCTGTTTGGTAGGGGGTCATATACTTGTTTTTCCTCATCAGATGGTTATCAATTTTTATAAATTCATATGATGTGATTTTCTGGAAGATTGTTGCATTCTTTGTAAGTGGGCAAACCTGCAAAATCAGCAAGGGGTCAAATACTTATTTCCCCCACTGTAGTTGTGAAGCCCAATGAGAGAGATTCTTGTATCAAAGTCGATAACAAGTTTGTTTTAGTCCGAAACATTGTTGAGGATAAAGGAATTGTGTACCTTGTGGGTAATGAATATAAACAGGTGGAACATTTCTTTAAATATCCAATTGACTCAAAAGAGTTGGAAATTTATGTGGTTTCCAACCTCTCCACCAATATCAAGTGTTTTATGATTGAAAAGAAGCTACAGAAGTATGTAAGATTACCATTTCGAAACAGATTTGTTGTTGTTCCACTCTTGCATTGAAACTAGTAACCCTGAAGTTGCTCTTGTATTTTAGTTGGCTATGGAATTTATGTAGTCATGGTTGCTTATTTTCAGATGTTTCATATTGTTGTCTTTGACAACACAAATGAGGTTGAAGTTGTGCCTTCAGTCTGGATAGAAAATGGAGAGTGCATGTGGCCTCCAAATAAAATTGATGTGGCAAAAGCTGTAAAATCTCAAGAATGTCCTGGAGATGGATGGATGCCCCATAAGGCCAGAATTATCTTCGCATCACGTAAGTTAAGTGTTATCACCTCTACCTTTTAAATTGATCTAATGATAGATCATAATATCACTTAAATTTACTTTTTTCCCCTGTATTTTGTTTTTCTAGATGACTACAATGAAGCAAGGCTTAAACTACCTCAGGCTGTCGATCACACTGACCTTGGAAGTGACGGAGGGGACTCGCCAATTAAATTTAAAAGAAAAAGAATGTATGTTTTTTGTTTTTTTTATAAATCTGCAGCAGTGTTTCCCGTACGTTCATTTATTTGTGGCGGCCCGCCACAATATCAACGCTGACTGCCACACATTGATTTTAGATTTTTTTTTACTAAGCCTATTTAAAATCGTATTTGATTGCAGAGCGCCATAGCGCATTAATGCAGCACTTCCTCTCACTCGTCCCTCTCTCTCTCGCACTCACCTGTACCTCTCTCTCTCTCCCTCTCTCCCTCATGGAACACAGCTGCACAAATTATTATTATTAGTAAGCATGTAAGGAGCCTAGCTAATAAGGAGAGCTAAGTTAATGTTATAAGCAGCTGGATTTTCGAGACTAGCACGCTGTATATAGCTGGTAGTCAATATGCATGCACTCGCGCACACATACTGTTTCTTAAAATTATTAAATGTGTTTTTAGACGCAAGAATATTCTTTTCCCTGGGGAAGACGATGAAGAGATGGAAAGCACCCTGAAAGTCACATTGCCCAATGCTCCAAAGATCCCTAGGCAGTACAAAACTCCTACATTAAAGCCAGGGAAGCAAGGCCAGAACCTCCAGCCAAGTGGCAACAGCAGTCCTGACTTCCCACCAAGTGGCAACAGCAGTCCTGACTTCCCACCAAGTGGCAACAGCAGTCTTGAGCCAAGCCCAAGTCAGCACTCCTGTACTTCCAAGTTTCCTTCAAGCTGTCACACCAACACTGAGAACCGGACGCCGAGGCACGCCAGCACCGAGAGCCGCCGGACGCCGAGGCACGCCAGCACCGAGAGCCGCCGGACGCCGAGGCACACCGAACGATCTATACTCCCATCAAGGCACCCCGAGGCACACCAGACCAGGGAGTAGACATCCAGTCTGCAAACTTGTGAGTATTCAATGATGTTTGTTACATTGTATGAATTCTTTATTTGGCTAAATGGTTTCTTCAGATAATGAGGAAAATAAGACTTCCAACATTAAGTATACACAGATGACTAACAGTGGTCAGATAAGACTATCAGTTCGGTGGCTTAACTAGTTTTATACTGTTTCTAATCTATCTTTCTTGCTTGTTTTCTTCTTAGCCCTTCTGCGTAGTATATTAACAAAACAGGAAATGATGATGGACCAACTGCGCATCATCTTTAAGACCCTACAGGGTATGAAAGCGACTGATGAGGCAGAGATAGGCCTGGATCGAAATTTGTTGCCCGTCAAAGACGTCAGTTCTCTTCAGAACCTGGAGGAACAACTGCAGAGTATTCCTGACCTCTACAAACAGTTGGTATGTTGGCATATCAAATACAGTGACATATTTCCTACTTAGCTGGCTAGCTTTTATTTTCCTTAAATTCTCTCATGAAAGCCTGACCAGGTACCCGCAGGGACTTAAAAGTAATAAAAAAGCATTAATTTTTTATGATCAAAACACTATATACAAAAACAAAAAGGAAATACTATTTAAATATCAGGGATGTGATTTTTCTGGATTAATCCGGAATTCCTGATTTTCCGACCTGAAAATATGACCCGCATGCATCATGCAGATCTGTAATAAAAACAATTTAAACAGGAGCTCACTGAGTGAAATGGAAAGGATTTGAGGACATCTACAGGCTGACATGTGTAAAGTTTTCTTCCTGTACAGTGTGTACCACAGTCGCTCTCGCGCATCAGTAGTACGTAACGTGTTGGGCAGTAATACTGCAATATTACTTTTCCGGGTAAAGAGTAATGTAAGGGATTACTACTTCCAAAACAGTTATATTATTACAGTTACTAATCCAAATAACACTGCGCTACTGAACGCACCATCCCTGTCGTGAATGTGCGACCGCGCTGCAGCTCAGTGGCACCGGCCCTTCTGCAGTTCAAGTCAGCTGTTAGCCAAGAAGCTAAAGGAAAAGTGGAGAACAGGCAGAGAGAGGTATTTTCGACAGCTGTAAATAACTTTATTGCCATTATTGTGTCACAGTCTAAGATGCAAAGAACATTGCCGTCCGTTGTAAACCTTGTGCGACCAGCAAAAAGTTTTTGACTGCGAACAATTCTGCATTTATACTTAAGCTAATTGAAGCATCAGCTAAAGCAACACAGCAACGTGAAACTCAGAAAGAAACTCCGGCCGCTGCCAGTGATGCTTGGACTCATGGGTGAGAGTGGCGTTAATCACCCAGTAAAAGAGAGTAGCTAATATTACTTTTTTAAGGAGTATATGCTAAGTAACTAGTAAGTAGCTGTATTATTTCTGAACAACACTAAGTTGACAGTAAGATCGGATAAATTGGGTATGTTTTGATTATTGCTTGTTATAGGCTATCTAATGTTTACTTTGACTTTGTTGTCGATTGATCAATCACCTAGACTATATAGCCTACACTTTGCTGTATGAATGGTAGCTTTTTAAGTCCTTATGTTTTGGCAAGTTTTAAATTAATTTCTTGTGAATGGTTGCAACAAGGTTTGTAAGGCCTTTTCAGACGGCTTTGATCCGCGTGGTCGCTCTGCACTCAGGCAAACAAGCACTCCACGAGGTAACCATGGCAACGGCTTCTGTGTAGCTGGCACGAATCCCGTGAAACTGTCGCGGCTCGTCTCACGCGCCCGCCAGAGTTGAAATGTCAAACTTTTTCCTAAAGTTTATCAACAGAGACTGATCAGCTGTTTGATCTGAGTTTCCTGAATAATATTACTGTTTCTTTAACAATTAGGCCACCAGGTCTTAAACAGGCAACAACCTTTGCTGCTGTCTCCTATTCATTAAAAATAATCTATCAACTACTGAACTAATCTTAAAGTTTAGTGTGATCGTGGAGTGTGCACAGATGTATATTAAAATTTAAGTACCTGGTAAAATCCATACTGATTTTCCATTATATCCTTCATACTTTTGCCAGTATGGCTGTTAAATTGGCATTAAATTTCATTCTAAGTGGTATTACAAAGGTCTTTAAAAGTCTTAAATTTAATTCGGACAATCTTGGGGGTACCCTGCTTAAGCACAGTGTAACATGTTTTTCATGTGGGTTTATATATTTTAAAACTAACTTTAAAGGACAAAACCAGCCTTAAATTTATTTTCCGTCAACTGCCATAATCATAAATGTATGCTACAAGTGTTTGTTGCAAAACTGTACTTTTTTTATGTTGAAACAACATTCTTCCTTGTTGCCTGAAACTTAAAGGTTGCCATGATAAGTAAATCCATCAAAACTAAGCAGCTAGCTACAGGAACACCACTTACTTATGCTATACATTCTATCCATTCCTTAAAATACGTAAATATGAAACCATTGCTGGGGGGAAAAAACTAATTAAGAAATATGATTTCAGGTGAACACGCTGGCTCTCAAAGGGGGGACTGACATTCGTGAGTGGAATGAGAGGAATAAATGGAAAGATTGGCTTTCAGCGCCTACAGATAAGAGATGTTGTGATTGGTAAGTTGGCCTTCATACCAACATTGGCATGTATATGTTTAAGAACCATTAACAGTTATATAACTTGATAGTTCAGGGTCTTAAGAAGGAAGGAAGGAAAGCAGGGATGGACAAGATGAGGAAATGTGAAGGAAAGTAGAGCTGAAAGGAGAAGACAGGAAGAGAGATGAGGGTAGGGGTGGACAGGAGAAGGGTCATTAGAGGACAGTAGAGGAAGAGAAGACGGGTGAGGTGATGAGCAGGGGAGAGGAGAGGAAATACCGTGATTTATCTTTTATTGGAATAGATACAATAGGACTTATTTAGAGATAATTGATTCGGGCAGGGGAAATTGAGAATGGCTGGTTGCTTTAAAAGAAAAATTCCCTTAAACTGAACCAACGCCCTTTTGACAGACATTCTGGTGTGATATCTACATGCAGAGACCATAATTTTGCAGATCAGTTTAAGTAGAAAGCCATAGGCAGCCATTACTGGTTCATATTGTACTCTATGTCCTTTAAAATCCTGTAGTCACAAGTTAATTGTGTGTGTTTTTTTTTTTTTTAGCTGCTGTGAGGCGTAACCGTCTGACATCTGGGGCCACGGACCAAGAAATAGATTCCACCATCAAAAGATGGCTTCATCTGGCTCCGGATAGGGATGGTGGCAGGAGGGAGAGGATGAGGAGATTGTTGAGTGTCAACACAGGAAAAGTTGTTGCTGTGGTTACAATGAATGGTAAGAATAAAATGAACTTAAGGGAACATTCCAGATCAAGTGGCTTTAGCGTCCATATCACATTCTGGGCAAAGTGCCCATAGGGACCTGGGTTGGACTTTAACCTGATTCCACCCCATAGGGCTCTCCTACTCGCTTCCTGCCACTTTTCATTGTCCTATTTGAATAGAAAAAAAAACAAGGCAGTGCTATTGGCTTTGTAAATGTGTCCTATTTCTATTCAAACGTTCCCTATAGTGGTCTGCGCTGGGCAGGATTTTCAGTCCTGCACCCCCCGTTCCCACAATATTCTATCCCGTTCCGCAATAATGTGTTTTAGTCCCGCTCCCGCCCGCATCTATACCTTATGTGCATCTCCTGCCTGTGAAAGACCCAGGATAGGCAGGAGGGATGTTCAGTTTTGCGTTCTGTCTCACAAAAGAGGCACTTGACAAATTTTAAGTTTTATTAGTTCTGAATGTACTACATAGGTGATAGTAATGTAAGCTACTTTTCCTGATTTTTCCAGGACGATATGATCTCAGTATGCCTGAGATGAAATGTGAGGCATGCAAAGCCACATGGAGCGCTGGAGTGGATGACTTAGTCCGTAATGCCTACTGGCCTGCTACCCTTCACTTTTTCACGGTGTACGCTACAGATGTTTTTTGTTCTTATGAAGAATTGAAGATGGCAGCACCAGGACTGTCCTGCCAAGCATTCTTAAGAATGCTTGATCAACGAACTGTCCGCTTTGGCCGTGTGAGTATGAGTGGTGGGAATCACTAACAACTAGTACTAGTATTGATGTGTATCGCAGAATGACTATGGTGACATTATCAACACATTGATTATTATAATTGGAGCATGTTGATGAAATCAAAACAGTGATTCAGCTGGACTCGATACATTAATAGAACATCATCTAAGATTCAAAGTCTTTGTGTAAAACTACCACTCAGTAAAGAATCTAAATTCATACACTAAATGTACAAAAATATTGGAGCAATTTATCAACTCAATCACTCAAAACATTAGACCTGTGTATAAGATCAAGTAGTGATGTCACATCCTAGTCATGCAGTTTGCATTCAGAAAAAAAACAAATAGGTCCATAAAGACATTGGTTAAGTTTGCTGTGGGAGTCGAGTTTGCTGTGGTCTTTTTTGGGGGGGACTTTGGTCGTGATGTTTTTTGTCCGTGACATACAAAGAGCCAAAAGATTTCCAAAGATCCACTGGGCTGAGCGACTGCCTGTGGAGGCTCGATGCAGGAGGATTTGGTGTCACCGGACCTTTGACCTTATTAACTTTAGTTAACTTAACTGTGAATTATGTTGACATGTTTTACTGTTCTGAAACAGACTGGGAAGATCACAGCAGACAGCTTCACAAAAAGCTTTTTGGAGTGGGAGGCTGTTAGATTTGAAGTGGATAAGATCTGCAGGGAGGAGCATTTTATCTGTCCTGCATGCACCCCAGACATGCTTGCTGTTTCTGTGGATGGAAATCGCAAGCACTACCGCTTTAAGAACACAGCAAGGTACTTACAAAATGTGTGTAATTTGCAGTGTTGTTAAAGTAACCTTTGCTGTGTCATATTGAAGGTCAATGTGTACCTTTCTTTCAATTAGATCTGAAGAACAAGCCTTATTTGATGGCATCTTCATTGCAAAAGATGATGAAGTAGAAAGATTTGTGGATTACATTCATTCCAACACCAACCATGTAAACTTGTTGTATAATATTTCAAAAAACACGACCAATAACATTTTACAGTTGACATTGTTTGGGTGAGTCCTGACTATTTATATCAACCTTTTTCCATGTTGTAGGTCTCTGGAAGAGGTGTCTGTGGAGGGGAGTGGTCAGCTGCCAGGGAAACTTCTCAGAGATCCTCTAGTAAAATTGATGAGGAGGGACTTGAGCTTGCGGTCTGTCGACATGGAGTTTTTCTCGGCGCTCTCAACATGTTCAGGGGAGAAATATATGCTTATCCCCTCTACCTGCAGAACAAGCTGGCAAATAAGTCAATAAGCTTTTTTGCCATGGATGTAACCTGCAAGTACTGGCCCTACCTCCACAAAGTGACAAAAAGCTGCCAGGAGCTCCAGCACCTTCTGAGCATGAAACCATTCCTCTCAGTGTTTCATGCCAAAGCCCATGATTTTAAATGCGAGGTAAGAAAACATTACCATGTCATTAACCGTCCCTAAACACCTGCAAAGGTATGTTGGCAGCTTTTAAGTATTTTCTTCAATAGGTTAAATGGAGTGGAGCTTACCAGCAAGGGGCCGGATTGACACTTGGGGGAGGAGGTTGAGCAGTGTAACGCCTTCCTCTCTAGGATTGCTGTGACCACAAAGCACATGTCCAAAGCAGGTAAGGTAACCACACACTGCACTATTTAGATTGAAAGTTTTACAAGAAAATTGTAGCCAGTGAGGGACATGTGGTACAACACAGATTAGTGTATTTTTTTTTCTTTTTTACAGGATGTACAGACATGCTTACACTGATGGCCATGCGCTGGAATCAGCAAAAGTTTAATAACTTGGCTGCTTCACTTGTCTGCCGATATCAGAAGGTAGAGATGAGTATTGTTATTTTCTTATATTGTAAATACCTTCTATTGTATATTTTTGTAGGTATAACATTTTTATTTCATTTCCTTTTTTTGTTACCTGGAAATCCAACTTTAGGATCTGGAAAGCATGAAAATCCAGCTGGCAGTGACACAGGTTAAAGTTGAGGGCTGGGTCACTGATTGGAGGAGTGGGCAGAAGGTGATAGTTATACTATTATTTCAATGTCTCAGTTCTGCGGAATAATGGGAGACATGCTTCTGCAAGTAATTACTGTTTTAAAATGAAATCATACATACACTGTTTTCTTGGTCATTTACTTGTGCAGTTAAAATGCCAAATTTTAGTATGTAGTGCATGCACACTGGAAATCATGTCAAAACAAAGTGCCCTGAAAGTACCTGAATGGTGCACAGTCCAAAAGTTGGAACATTGGACATTTCGGTGACATTCAACACTTTATTTTAAGGTGTCCTTCTTAGAGTGTAATTATACATTTAAATACGGAGTAATATTAATTAACTACATGTACTTACTATAGGATTAGGGTAGGATTAGGATTTGGTTGAGGGTTAGTTACATGTAATTATGCATAATTTATTGTTATTACTATTTTAAGTTCATGTAACATATGTAACAAGGACACCGTAAAATAAAGTGTTTCCGAAATTTCTTGCAGTTAGCGGATCCCATCTTGGCTACGTTGTCATTTTCTTTGGTACCCTGTTACATACTTCCTGTACACGCTAATAAATATGAAATGAATATTGAGACTCACCTGTCCTTCCTCCAGGAGCTTTTTTTTTATAAAGAAAAAAAAAAGCAGCAAAGAGGTTAAGGTAATCTTTATGACTTCCCTGTGGCGTTCTGTGTTACACTGAGACTTAGCTCGTTTCAGTTACTGCCATGAAAATGTAAGTGAAATGTTTACACTTCTTTTCTTCTCAGCAACAACATCCCAAAAGAATGCCGATCTTGACGCGTGACCAGTAGAATGGAGGTGCTGGTGGCCAGCATTAAAAGAAGGTCCCAGCGCCTTTACAAAGACACCGATGGCAGCAAAGGTCGGGCCCGGATTCGGCGCAAAATCAGGGAGGAGAAGGCCATTCTTAGCTCTGTCGTTGAAAAATACAACAGTATGGTTCCAGATACAGAAAGAATCGTCTTTGACATCATTCTCTCTGACGAGACAGTTTGGCCATGGCAACTTTCACATGGTGGTATGTACACAAATCTGTTGACAATTTTGTTTGATTCACATAGTAGCACAAAACCAATTATGCCGTATCCCAGATTATCTCAAATATTATTTGAAAAATAATCATACTTACAATTTACTTATTTTCCACAACTGTATCCCAGACGCTGTAGATTTGAAAATCAAGAGGAAGGCGTTTGATGTTGTGATGGCAATAAGGAGACTTAAGAAGAAGATTGTTCTTTCTGAGATGGCAAAGCATTGGAAATCTCTCTCCACTCGTGCAGACACACTCAAGGAGATGTCATCCCAGCTTTCCAGTGAGGCATTGCAAAGTACGTATTTAAGTAATGTGTTGTAATACTATACTCTACATTGTAATTTTTTTTCTGATAATTTTTTGTTTTACTCCCATAAGGTGAGCTGTGGGCTCTAAATGAAGAAGGGATCAAGGGTTTCCTCAGTTTAACTTTGAGAAAGAAGCAAGAAGTCACCAGAATGATGAAGCATGCAAGAGACTGCTATGCTCAAGTTTTGACTGGAACAAGTATGGACTTCCAGAATGATTGGGATGGATACGACAGTGATTCTGAACTGTCAGTTTGAGGAGCTCTCGAAGTGATAAATGACCAGTTATTCACTTTTGGTTCGATTTCTTATATTTGTCAGTGTTTCCTTTGTTTGTTTGTTTTTAGTAGTGGGGGCAGGTCCAAAAAAATCACCAGTTAAAGCTGCCGTCGGCAAAAATTTTTTGATCATATTCAGTGAAATCGACACTATAATCGCCCTATTTCTGATACCGTGGGGGGGCAGAAATGTTCAGTAACACCTCAATGCAGTACATGAGATCCACGGGGAGGAGTCGGATCAAGATCCAAGGGGTGGAAATGGGTAGGATTAGGGTTGGGTTTAGGGATTGGGTAGGTTTAGGTGTATGTAAGGTGGGAGGAGTTGGATCTGGATCCGACTCCTCCCCATGGATTTCATGTTCCGCAGTGAGAACCATCTCGAAATGTTGGTGTGGGGGGCCACCACGGTCAAATCAACAAAGAGGAAACACTGTTTGTAAGTCAGATATGCTTGAATAATAGTAATTATCATATCTACATGTTACATTACAACAATAATAATGAATGTAGTTATACAAACTGAAATTAATTTAAGAAACTGTTTTTCGAATAGTCGTCTTCTGTTTATGGTAGAACAAAACTATGTGCAGAAAAGTTTACAGGAAGGTGTAAATATGTGTATTTTACTAATAATAATAAACATAATTCCACTGATGTCATCTGCTGTAGCAAATCTGAGTTTTCTGACAGTTTTACATGGACACACAACCCCATTTTTTTCTGAATTTGGACTCTTGCATCAACTCACCTGCTACAGATGGTCTCTGAAAGCATCCTTGACAGGTCTTCAGCTGCTTCACATGTGCAGTGAAGGTACATAGAGCTTCAACAAATGCAAAAACTGGCCCAAAACTTGAAAATGTGACTTAATTATAGACACTATAGTGGTTATTATATACACACACAAACCAATTTTTCTGAATTTGGATGTTTAATTGGGAAGTGTCGTTGAATTACTTCAAGACTTGCTTTAATAACTACATTTCCTGACCTAAGCACTTTGATTTGCCTTATATACTATATAAAAAAAACTACAGTTGAGTGTTTAAAAATACAGCCTAATGGCTTGTTTGATTAATTTGGATTTGTTGTACTATTGTGAAAAACAAAAAAATAAAACTATAAAAAGAGAAGCATTTTTATTTTTATTTTCCATGCATAGTTATTTAAAAAAGCAATTTTGTGGTTGGTTTTAAAATTTTGTGGTTGATAAATGTTAATAGCAGAGACTAAAGGGGAAAAAACATGAGAGCATATTTATGGGTGGGACTTTGATTTAAAATCACACTGCATTATTAGTAGTTTTAAAATTTAAATGAATTACTTTTTTAAAATTTCAATTTATGGGTTAGGGTTAGTGTACATACAGTATACAACATGTGTTTTGGCATTTTTGGTACACTTCTTCCTCGGCTTACAGCATACAGACACAACTCGCATATCTCATTCAACCATTTCACAAGTTGATGAAAGGGTCAGAAGGTATTAGAAGTCATAAATGATGAACCAATCCATCAGCTCTGCTCCTACAGGCACCTTGGGGTGTATATGGACAATACCTTTGGCTGGAAGGCCCGTGTTGAAAGTGGGTGTTATCATTTAGAGCAAACACTCACAGTGAATCAGAGGGTTTAATGTTATACAAGGCTGCATTACAGAGCATTTTAATATGACTGTCATGAAGGTTGTGGAGAAGAATAGAAACCAGTCTCTCCAGGCAAGCATAAAGAATGTGGTCTGATCCATCTTTATTCTCCATACATTTTCCATTTACATTTTCCATTTAGTCATTTAGCAGACACTTTTATCCAAAGCGACTTACATCTGAGGTCTAAACCAAACAAGTTATCGTGAGGAGGCAATAACAACACAAGAAGTGCTCAAAATACAAAGTTCAAACATTGCTCAGAGTAGCATAAACTAGGCAAGTGAGGATTTAAAGGATTTTTATTTTTATTTTATTTTTTTATGTTAAGTGCTTTCGGAAGAGATGAGTTTTCAGTTGTCTTTTGAATGCTGTCAGGGATTCTGCATTCCGGATGAGGGTGGGCAGATCATTCCACCAGCATGGAACTGTGAATGAGAATGTTCTAGAGAGTGATTTTGTGGCTCTTTGTGATGGTACCACAAGCCGTCGCTCATTGATCGATCGTAGGCTTCTGGTGGGGTGTAGACTCGTAGAGCGAGTGAAAGTAGAAGGGAGCTGAGCCAGTGGTCGATCTGTAAGCAAGTGTCAAGGCCTTGAACTTGATGCGAGCAGAGAGTGGCAGCCAGTGCAGAGAGATGAACAGAGGAGTGACGTGGGCCCTTTTGGGCTCGTTGAAGACAAGACGAGCTGCAGCATTCCAGATCATTTGTAGATGTTTAGTTGCACAAGATGGAAGTACAGCCAGAAGAGCATTGCAGAGAGCAATGACCTCTGAACTTTGAACCCAGTCCATCTTGGTTTGTAATTTAGCAACAGAAGGTGCTAAACACATAAGAACAGCATTTATATATAAAGCTCTGGGCCTCTGCTGTCATGTAGATATGGTCACCAAAGTTTACCCACTGTATAAGCACTGTCAAATATGAAAATAAGCTATCTCACCTATGTAATGATTAATTTTTTGAAATCTGATAACACCAGTGTGTTCCCCATCCCAAAAAAACACAGGGTGTATCCAAAATTTTACACTTTTAACTTCTAATTGTGAGAAATATACCAATATACTTTAAAACTACAACTCCCATAAGAGACGCGCCACACAAAGCGAGTGCTTATGTGTAGTTATTCCGGGGTGGGGGTGGGGGGACATGTTCGTGTAACTATGTCCGTGAATGAGCTTCATTCTATTGCAGATTGCCGCCGGCCGACGAGCACACAATACATGAGACAAATACATTAAACTGTATTTTATTATTATTGTTATCTTTATTTTTTAAATCCTCAAATAAAACATTAGACAAAAACATCAATATTACGAATACTGTGTATTTTTTTTTATCTCTTTTTTTATATATAATGCTCGGCAAATGGCTAGTCTGGCACGCCCTCAAAAACACCGGTGGAAAAACACTGGGCTGCAGCACACAGTGACAAGACACCCACCTGCTGCCTCTCCTCTTCCAAACACTAGCTACCCTCCAGGCAGTCAATAGACGTAAAGTTGTTACTGTGATGTAAAACTTTATGGATGAAAGATACATTTACAAAAGATACATATACAACTGAATCGAAGCCCGTTTACCGGCTTTTCAGGACCTGCCCTTCTCTGCTTCTGATTGGCTAATTGTCCTTAACTAGGAACTGTGCATGTGCAACTCCCAACAAAGATCTTGTAGAGGTAAGATATATCACTCCATAGCTAAAATGAAGCGTTACACACAGGGTGAAAAGAGGTGCTGCAGCAATGTGCAGTATGACAAAAATATGATGTTTTTTGAAAAAAAAAAACTATGTAAACCTGTTCTGCTACAACCCCTAAATGAGATTTTGAACCTGAAAATGAGCATAATATGACCTCTTTAAATGTGGCTCATATCAGACTTCAGTGTGAATTGTCCGCGGCCTGAAAGTGACCCACATGCGCATCTCATAAACAGAATCAGCAGGAGTAAAACAATATTGTCTACAAATCAAAACAAATATTTCACAGTTAATGTAATATAAAAGTAATAAACTCTAAAAACCTTGCACCAATTCCAGTAGTGATCATAGCACTCAGCCATGATACTGAGTAGTCCCAAGTTCGTCACCCTGTTTCATTGTTTTTGACAGTTCAGTTATTTTATGGCTTGTAGGAAGAAAATGTTCAGGAATCTGGAGATGCGGGTCTTAATGGACCTTGTGAACCACACCAGAAAGTTGTGAGAGAGGACACTTTCAACAGAACCTCTGTAAAAGGTGTTGTGAACTCAACCAGACGCACTTCAAAGAAGGTCAGGTGGTGTCAAAAGAGGGAGGGAAGTTTCCCTCCCCGAGAGTTGACCTTTTCACATGTAAAACCCCGAGACATCGCCTGGTGTTTGGTAAGGACCGAAAGAGACTCAATCAGACAATGAATCGCTTAAGGATTGTGTATTCAAAGAGCCTTAGTGAACCTTTCTAGCCGTAAAGGTGTCACTAAAGACAGTCCACAGGACAGGAAAGGGGGCGATCTGACCCCTTCTCCCTCCAGCAGGTCACCTCCAGCCTCAACCTGACTCTTTTCTCTCCACAGAACGGCTGAGCCATAAACCACCATTTCATTCTCTGATAGC